TTCCCGCTGCAACGGCCATTAGACTTTTTGACTGCTGCTTTCATGGGCATTGATTGTGGATTCCAGTAAAATGAAATCCTTGACAATCTCAACCTTCTCTTGGTTTATTGTGATGTTACTTATCGGTTCAGTTGTAAGGATTTCATTTTCTTTATATTGAGGTACAATCCACTAGGAAGTGACTAGTCTACATCAGTAAGTGCTTCAAGTCTGCATCAAGTAAGGTTGTGTTATTTACACATCACACTTCATATTAATGCTATTAGCCATATTTTTGATATATTACTTAATTATATTAATTCTTTATACCATTTGTTTTTGCAATTCTGCAAAGTTGTTAATGAGTTTCTTTCATTCCTGATGCTCTATTCTTTTCATACAATCTGGTTTCTGTGATGATTTGTTCAGCATATAATTTGAATAATATTGGTGAAAGGATATAACCTGAAACACACCTTTCCTAAATTTAAACTCTGAGCAGATTCCCCTTGTTCTGTTTAGATGACTGACTCTTGACGTTCAGCTTCCAGATGAGCACAATTAAGCACTCTGTAATTCTCATTCTTTGCAATGCTAGCCATACTTTGTTATGGTCCACACAGTCAAATGCCTTTGATGCATTTGTATATTCAGTAGATATTGGGTAAATATCTTTCTGGTATTCTATGTTTTACATTATCAATAACATCTCTTGTTCCATGCCTTCTGTGAACCTGGCTTGCATTTCTAGCAATTTTCTATCAATGTACTGCTGCAACTGTGTTTTAACATATCTTCTGAAAAATTTACTTGTGTGTGATATTAATGATATCGTTAAATAATTTCCACATTCTAGTGGATAACTTTTCTTTGAAATAGTAACATCTATATCAATTGCTTCAAGTCAATTGGCCAAGTAACTGTCTTCCAAATTTAATGGCATAGATGAATGAATGCTTCTAATTTTAGATGTTTTTTAAATTGAACTAAAATTTTAAAGCTGAATTGGTATTTCATCAAGTCCTTGGACGCTGCTTTTCATCAGTGCCTTCAGTGGAGCATGGACTTGTTTCAATACCATTGGCTTTTCATTATATGCTACCTCCTAAAAAGGTTGAATATCTGCTATTCTTTTTGGTATACACACTGGCATCGAGTTGATTTTGACTCATAGCTACTGTGTCTTCCTTCTACTTTCTTTGTGTGTTTCCTGTGCTGTTCGTGAGTTTCTCCTTAAAATCACAGTAGTGGGACCTGGAACATGACTTCTTTCCTTCAGTTCTTTCCGCTTGAAAAATGCCAATTGTGCTCTTCCTTAGTAGTTTTCTAACTCCAGATTTTCCCTCATTTCATGATAATACTTTGTCTTCTGAGCTGCCCTTTGACATCTACTGGTCAGCTGTTTCCCTTCATCTAATCTTCAATTAGCTACTCTACATTCAAGAGCAGGTTTTAGAGTCTTTCCTAACATCTATTTCGAAGCTGTCTTTCCTGTTTTTTTTTATGACCTTCAGCTTTCTTCATGTACAATGTCATTGGTGTCATCCTACAACTTGTCTTCTGTCATTAATGTCAAATGTGCAAAATATGTTCTTTAGCTGATCTCTAAAGATCGTCTCCGTGGGGCATACTCAAGGTCATACTTTGACTTGTGGAGTTAAATTTTTTTTGCTTCAGTTTGAACTTGTGAAATTGCTTAAGAGCAATTGGATGGCTGGTTTTGAAGTTGGCCCCTGGCCTTGTTCTGATGGATGATATTGAATTTCTCTAGCATCTCTTTGCACAGATACAGTCAGTTTTATTCATGTGTATTCTATTTGGTGAGGCTCATGTGGGTAGCTGTTGTTTATATTATTGGATTTCAGTGAATAAGTTGGTTTTATAAAATTTTATCCTTTGGTCCCTAGCATAGTTTCTATCACCAAAGCCATAATTTCTACTTTCTGGTTTGTTTCCAACTTTAACATTCTAACCATTGGTAATTATCAATGCATTTTAATTGTATGTTCACTTAATTTCAGAATGAAGAAGTTGGTAAAATGCTTTAATTTTTTTAACTCTTGGTGTTATTGATTGGTACATGTATTTGCATTAACAGTTACATGATCTGCACTTCCTTATAGGTATATGAATATATTGTCCTATCACTGACAGCATTGTACTTCAGGATAGACCTTGAAATGTTCTGTTTCAATACCAGTGTCAGTGTTTCAGCTCACTGCTGTTTAGAATACTGATCTTCTATCATTCTATTTCATTTTCTACAACTTCCAATTTGTCTAGATTCACACTTTGTATATTCCATGTTCTGATTACTCATGATGTTTACAGCTCTTCTAGTTTTGAGTCATGCCACATCAGCCAATAAAGGTCCTCAACAGGTTACTTGGTGCATGGCATTGAAATCAACTCTACTCGGAGGAGGCAGCCTTTCGTTAGTTGTATTTTGTGTGCCTTCCAACCTGAGGAACGTAACTTATATTCTGTCAAACCGTGTTCAGATGCTCTTCATAAGGTTTTCATTGGCCAATTTTTAAAGACGTAGCTCACCAGGTCCTTCTTCCTAGTCTATCTTACTCTGGAAACTGCTGAAACCTTTCCACGGTGGGTGACCCTACCAGTGACATAGCTTCCGACATCACTGTTACATGGAAGCTACCACAAGATAGCAGATTGAGAAGTAAGTAGTAGATTGGTCAAGTAGGACTTATTGAAGAGTATCCTAAACCCACCAATTGGCTGGCTCCCCTAAAGGCCTTAGAAATCTTATGGGGCATTTCTTTTCTGTCCTATAGGGTTGAATGACTTAGAATCAAATGAACAGTAGTGGATTTGATTGGGCTATGATTTATTAGGATAAGAATTTCAGCTTTGGTTTAAAATAAACATCTCAAGTCTTAGCATTGCTCTTCTGCCATGACAAAATGCAAAAATTCATCTGTAGGCATGATATTTAGAACTGAATAAAAGACTGGTTTCTGTTTGGTAATAAAAAGAAAATCGTGTTTTAATGTGATTTTGAGAAATGAATATGCTAGAAAATTACCAAACCAAAGCTTTCCATCTTTTCCATAAGACAGAGGAAACCTACCAGTTTTTTTTCTGAGTAGAAGTTGCTCAGTTATTGGTCACAAATGAGGTAATAAGTAAATAAGGCAATGATTTTCTCTAATTTACCTAAAGATTCTGCATTTCTAGAAGCAACTCTGGTTAGATGTGGTCTGGGTCAGAAGACAGGAGTTTTTGAAGGGCTTTGCTAAAACAGATTAGCCCCTGTTCACCCTTCTAATATTTTTGTGTAAACTTTCTTCTTGTGTACCAGGCATTAGAGAAGCTAATGGGACAGTGAAATTATATTAATTCTTTGTACCATTTGCTTTTGCATCCATTTTTATGGACTGCTGTTCTACAAAGTTTTACAAGACTGACCACTATACCAAATGTGGTTTAACCATTTTGTAAAAAAGTTATAGACATTGAGTCTAAGAACAGTACCCTTGAGAATTCTGCAATTATAATTTTGGTGATGGTACATATGTATTAGATTTTGGATGGGGATTTAGCTTTTACATTTGAAATGTTAGTCAATAATTCTTCAAAGCCATACTTTTCATTGAGCAACTTAATCTTTAGTCACATATCTCTTGGAAAATTAATTGCCTATGTACTATTTTTGATTATTCAAAATATGAAATTCAAATTTTATTTTGTTGATTTAGAAATACAAAAGATGTATTACTTAATATTCATTAAGGACAAAGTTTTTCATCCTATAAATTGGAATACCCAGTATCAAATGGCCTTTTCACTTCTATCTTTCCCATTTCAATTCCTTCTCAAAATTGATACCTAAAGGTGTTTCATGAACAAATGTTCCACTGAGCAGCGGTAGCAGTTGTGTTCTAGGTAGTACTTGATGGTCTGCCTAAAGAACCCTGGTGGTGCCTTTCGCTAAGTGGAGAACTGCTAGCCAACACTTTGACAGTTCGAACCACAAGCTGCTTCAAAGGAGAAAGATGAGACTATCTTCTCCCATAGAGGTGGTTACATTAATAATGCTGGGGACCAACCACTAACAGGACCATTTTGATGGACTCTTTTTCACGCATGTTTTGATCATCCCAAATCTCCTATGACCATTTAAACAGGCCTAGGAAATTTTTCTAGGGGCAAATAACAAACTATGTAGGCGGTGAGCTCTATAAGAAATTGTGTACTATTTGAACTTAAAAGTCTATTTTTTAAATTCTCTATAAGGAAACATAGCTGGTATACTCAACATATTGAGTAGCATCCAGTAGAGTGATTTTGCCACTAGGATGGACATTCTCTGTCTGCCCAGCCAACGTTGAACTGGTCCCAACCTCAGTCACCTTTCCCTGTCGGCCTTCTCAGTTGCCACTGAGATCCATCCTTTCTCATCTCACAGACACTGGTGTGCAAATAAAATAGTACATGTGAAAATGCTTCTAAACTCGAGGCTTGTGCACATAGATTTTGCTACGATGCCATTGAATTGACCTTTTGACAGAAGACCTCCGGAGCCACCACTAATCTTGTAGATATCTCTGCAATTGAGGGAAAAGTAGTAGTCCTAATAAACGGGAGTTAATAAGTGAGTTTTAGCTACTATTTAAGACAGTACCATTACTGTTTTTGACGCCCCCCCACACCCCGCACACAAATAACACACCCACTTTTTATGTTTCTTTGCCCCCCACTCCCCCCCCCCACCATGTACTTTTGTAAGTGCTGCTATGCCAGTTTCTTTTTACATGTTACTGTACGAAAACAAACCAAGAACCCCAGCACACTGCGTTTACAAAAATACTTCCCCGAGGGAGGAAGCAGTTGGCAAACACACCCAGACTATTTGTGAGAAACATGGTAGTCTGGTGAGCCAGTAGAATACTTAGACTGCGGTTATTTTTGTCTTTCAAGAAACCAATATCCATTCTATTGTGTTCTGGACCGTGCCTTGGCGTTGCAAGATGTTCCTAATTACCCTGGTCTCTTCACAGGGCTGGCCTTTGCCATCCTCTCCTCGGTGCACCCGGCGTTCGGTTTATATGGCTCTCTGTTTCCAGCCATCATTTATGCCGTGTTTGGAATGGGGCGTCACGTTGCCACAGGTAACGATTTCTCTGTGTTTATTTTCTTTTTATGTTACTACATAATGGGATGTAAAAGTGATCATTAATTATTTATGATATTCCAAATCAGTTTTACCTCACTGTTGCAAACCTCAGCAAAGGTTAGGGTAATATAGTTAAAACTCTCTGTGCTTCATGTACTCACTGTAGACTGTACTTTATTATAGTAATTACTATAGTACTAAATAAACAAGTTTATTGTTAAAAACTCTTTGCCTCTGTAAACTTCAAAAACAGTTGACCATAAAAGGGAGGGATGTCTGAATTTAAAATGAGACAAATGAAAATAAGCACTTTAAGGGATAAGACTATGTCTTTCTTTTATTTAAAATTTTTTTTTATTCAAATATTGTAAAAGCTCTTAAAGACCCATAGTATTTGGGCTAATGGACAAGGGTCTTTTTGAACTAGAAACTATAATACTCTTCAACTAGTACAGTTTTTGCCTGACCAAACTCAGTGTTACCAAGCGAGATGGTAAATTGTTACAGATATTCTGATAATACAGAAAGCTGATTTAAAAAAAACAGAAAACAAAACTGGAACAAAACAAAACAAAGCAGTTTGATAGATGGAAGTTTATGTCTTTTTTATTGTTTGCGTCCTACAGCAAGTTTTAAGTTATATTTGTGTGATTATAAAATGGTAAAAATCAAAACAAAACAGAAAAAGCTCATATGATCTTAGTTTTTAATTAAAACTATCATTTTAAAATGATCTATCATTTTAAATAAAAAATTGAAATACAGTATGTAGCTTAATACATAGTGTGTAACAATTAGTTGTATAAGAACCAATCCAAACCAACCTGATTGTCATAGAATTGATACTGACTTACAGCATCCCTCTAGGACAGAGTAGATCAGCCCTGGAGAATACCCAGAGCCATAAATCTTTATGGATGCAGACTGCTGCATTGTTCTGCCTTGGGGTGGCCGGTGGTTTCAGACTGTGGGCTTTTGGGTTAACAGCCAAGTGCTCAAAATTGATCTTATGGGACTAAAATTTAGGTGTTGACTGGTATTATCTGGAGAGCCTGGGAAACAATCTTTTTTCTCACCTTTTCCCATTCTAGAGCCCACTTGCATCCCATCTTCAAAATCAGCCATGTAGCATCTTCACCTCCCTCTCTGACTCTGATCTTCAACTGACTTCCCGGGTCCATGTAGCTATGACCATTGAGATTTTGTCGACGCCACCCAGATAATCTCTTTATTTTTAAAGTCAACTAATTAGCAACATTAGTTGTAACTTTAATGGCTTCTTTTTGTTTGTTTGTTTTAAAATTTATTTATTTATTTAAATCATTTTATTGGGGGCTCATACAACTCTTATCACAATCCATCCGGCCATTGTGTCAAGCACATTTGTACATTTGTTGCCATCATCATTTCAGAACATTTTTTTTCTACTTGAGCCCTAGGTATCAACTTCTCATTTTTTCTCTCGCCCTCTCCCACCCTCCCTTCCTTACGAACCCTTGATAATTTATAAATTATTTTTATTGCTTCATGTCTTACACTGTCTGATGTCTCCCTTCACCCATTTTTCTGTTTTCCGTCCCCCTGGGAAGGGGTTATATGTGGATCATTGTGATTGGTTTTCCCTCCTCCCAGCCCCCCTCCTACCTTCCCCATCCCTTCCTGGTATGGCTACTCTCAATATTGGTCCTGAGGGGTTTATCTCTCCTGGATTCCCTGTGTTTCCAGCTCTTATCTGTACCCATGTACATGCCTTGGTCTAGCTGAATTTGTAAGGTATAACTGAGGTCACGGAAGTGTCGGGGAGGAAGTATTAAGGTAGCAGAAGGACATTGGACCTCTACTTAAGTACTCCCTCAATGCAAGAACACTTTGTTCTAATAACCTGGCATTCCATGATGCTCACCTTCCCGATGATTCATGAAGACAAAGTGAATGCATAAGCAAATGTGGTGAAGAATGCTGATGGTGCCTAGCTATCAAAAGATATAGCATCTGGGGTCTTAAAGGCTTGAAGATAAACAAGCAGCCATCTAATTGAGAAGTAACAAAGTCCACATGAAAGAAGCACACCAGCCTGGGTGATTGAGTTAGTTAATTGTGCCAGCCTGGCTGATAATCACATGTGGGTCTGGTTGAAAGGCGGAGGGATAA